AAAACTGATCATGCCCGAAATGAAAGTTACTGTCTTCCCCTTGAAACCTTGTCCTGCAAACTTCTGTTGAGGATGCTACTCTCTTTCTAATCACCCAGGTTCATAATCTGAGTCATCCTTGACTCTTCCCTCTCCCTCACCTCCTATATCATTCATTCATTCATACATTCTGCAAGCAGTTATTGTACCTTCCGTCTACTGAGCACTGTGCTAGGCACTGGAGATACAAACATAAAAAGGAAATAGTCCCTGGCCTCAAGGAGCTTTCATGCTTTTGAGGGAAACAACAGTTACATAGAAATTAAAAATAAATACAAAATATTTTTTGAGGAATGGGGGGAATTGCAAGTTAGAGGATCTACATAGGTTTCCTATAGGAGCTGGCACTTTAGCTGAGCTTTTAAGGAAGCTAAGGATTCTAAGAGGTAGAGAAGAAGAGGGTTTGCATTCCAGCCTGTGCAGAGGCACTGAGGTTGGCGGTGGAATGTTACATATGGGGTATAACAAGCTTGACAACAGTCAAATTGGATGTAGAATATGTGAGATGAAGTGCATGAAACCTAGAAAGTTAGGCTGGAACCAGATTGTGAAGCATTTTAAAAGGTGAGTTGGTATTTTATCATAGAAGCAAGAGGGAGCCACTAGTGTTTACTGGGCTAGAAAGAAAAGACATAGTCAGAACTTTACCGGAATATCAATTTGGCAACTATGTGGAAAATGTATTAGAGAGGGGAGAGGCTGCAGACAGGGAGTCCACTTTAAAAGTTTTTGCACTAGTCCAAGTGAGAGGTGATGAGGGTGATAGTCATGTGGGTGAAGAGAAAGGGACAGGATGTTGCTAAAGTTGTAAACCTAGGTATGGAAGTAATATGATACTCTCCATAGAAATAGAGAATTTAGGACAAGTATAATATTGGGACGGGGGATGCAGGGAGATGAAAGATATTAAGTTCTATTTTAAACATGTTGAATTCGAGGTGCTTATGAGACATCCAGTTGTCCAATAGTTTGTGTTATAGGACTAGAGTTTAGGAGAGAGAGTGAAATTGGATATAAGACCAGAGAGTTATCTGCCTAGAGGTGATAATTAAACCCATGGAATCTGATGAAATAATCAAGAAAAAGAGCAAGGAGAGAAGAAATGGTCTATGACAGAACTCTAGTCTAAATGCATACTAAAAGGTGAAGCAAGGATGATGATCTCACAAAGGAAACAATAGAGACCAGACAGGCCAGAAAAGGACCAAGAGAGAACAGTATCATGAAAACCTAGGGGGAAGCAGGGGTATTTAATCAAGACAAATGCTTTAAAGAGATTGAGAAAAATAAGAATTGAGGGAAGGCCATCAAATTCCACAACTAAGTTCATTGGTAGCCTTGGATAAAGAATTTTCAGATGAGTGGTGAGGTTGGAAGCCAGATTGCAAAGGATTAAAAAGGGAGTGTGAAGTGAGAAACTGGAGACAGAGAGTATATAACTGATGGCTTTTTTTCTTGGGTTTTAGATGTGAAAGGGAGGAAGATACAGAACAGTGGATTGCTAAATCCTACTGATTATACCTCTGCTATGTCACTCACATCCATTCCTTTATATCTACTCAAAAAGCCACTCTGATTCAAGCCTCTTTTACCTCTCACTTGGACTGTATTAATGCTTCTTAAGAAGTCTTCCTAACCCCACTCTTCCTGCCTGTCCTGTCTACCCTTTCACAGAGAATACTAATCTTCCTGAAGCACAAATCTGGCCATGTCATTCCTCTGCTCAGAAACCTTTAGTGACTCCCTAACTCCTTGGAGTGAAATTCAGAGAGCTTCACAATCTTGCTCCTCCTTAACCTTTCACATTTCTCCCTTTCCTATATTCTAAATTCTAGCCAAACTGGACAATTTGAATTGTGCATTCCATTTGCCTCTATGGGTTCATTAAAGTGTCTCCCACACCTTGACTCAGCTGTTCCTCTGAATTCCTGTCTTCCTTCAAGATTTAGCTCACATACCACCTCCTTCATAAAGTCTTCTATATCTTCTTCCAAACTGATAATATATTCTTCCTTCTCAAATCACCTTATATTATACTTATTCTCATACATGCTATAATGAGGAAAGAAGGAAGGAAAAGTGTCAAACATTTTTAAAAATAATAGAAGCAAGCAAAAGAAAGTTCAGAATAGAATAATATGAATAATATGTGTGTGCATGGGGGGGGAGAAAGAAAAAGAGAGTATATAAGCAGGTCAATGTTGGTACTACCATGCTAAGTTCATGTGTGTGTGTATAGTTTAATATATTTATGTATGTATATTATGTATTCCCAAGAAAAGCTATACATAAATCTGCAATTTCACATATATCCTGTTTTTTTTTATATAGAGAAATGCTCATTTTTAAAAATGTTTAAGTTAACAAAAAATTGTTTATAAAATAATGTAAAGGAAGAGGAAACAGAAAATGTTTTGCTTTGGGGAGTATACCAAATACTTAGAATAATGCCTGTATGTATATGTATGTATTATGTGTATATGTATACATATAAGCATTAAGAGGGAACCACTGGAGTTACTTGTGTTGGGTCTTATACAGATGAGTGGCTGGAGACAAAGGTATGAAGGTAGGCTATGCCCCAGAGCAGTGGTGTCAAACTCAAATAGAAACAGATCCCTTTGGTCCATATTGATTTAGAAAACCACAACTTTTTATTTTTAATGTTTTGTTATATTTTATTTTGTTCAACATTTCCCAGTTACATTTTAATCTGGTTCAGTTTGACACATCTGCCCTAGGGGCAGGTTAATTGTTTCTGCTGACCTTTTTCATAGGTAGCTGAGCTAGTAAAATCTCAGATCCTTGCCTTTACATCTGAAGGGTCTTACATTTCAGTATCTCTATCTTTTTGTCCTTCTAACCTTCAACTTTGATTAAGTCCAAAGAAGTTATACTATCATAATAGTGGATATGAAAGGCAGTATTTTGTAGCAGATAGACAGCCAGTCTTGGAGTCAAGAACTAAGTTCAAGTTAACCTCTGACATATATTGTAAATGTGAACTCTTAGGCAAGTCAATTAATTTCTGAGTGTCTGAAGTTACTTTCTAAGACCATATAAACTACAGAGCAGGTGCCAACCTGCGTTGGTAGAGGGGTTTCCTCATTGGAAGTTCCTGCAAATAAAATCACAAATCTTGTTTCCTCCCCTCACCCCCATCACCACCACCAAAAAAGAATAGTGGTCAGATGTTCCATAAAATTATAGAGCTTTTTAAGAAGAATATTCTTACTCTACTGAGGTCAAGAATTGCTATAATTTTATAAGAATTGTATAAGTAGAAATATAGAATATAAGGCAAATTATCCTCCCCACTTGGATTTGGTGAATTATTACTACTTAGCATTTGTACAGTACTTTGACAGGTATTCCATAGTTACTCTTAGTAGTGATAGTTTCACTCACCTATTGATAAAAATTCTTTTTTTAGTTTCTTTCAGTTAGGTATCGACAGAATCAGTTGCTGCTATTTATTTTGGCATCTTCCATCCATTATCGCCATTTACTAAGCACCTGCTATATACAGAGCATTCTACTAGAAATGTACAGAAATACAAACAATTCAGAAATAATCTTTTTCCCATGGAGCTTATAACATACCGCCCAAAAAATGAGGTTCACAAATATGCACTAAATATAATGGAAAACAGAATATTATAAGAGAAGTATATACAAAATGCTTTTCAAAGTCCTAGGAAGAAAAGATGTGTAACTAGTAGATCAAGTTATCTTATGAAGTAGGAAGCATTTGAGCTGGGCCTTGACTTTTAGAAGGCATCTGCAGTGTGTATCATTAGTTGTGATAGGATGGTTTCTAGAAATGCTTTCTTTACATTGTGCCCATATATCCTGTAACTCAGGTTCTATAAGACCCACAAAGCTAGTTTGTCGACATATGAGTAAAATCCTTTCTAAGGCCTACCTTTAAAGGACTGGTGTTAAATCTGCTTCCTGCCGGTAGGCTCCAGGTGCAGGATGAAGCATACATTTTCAGACCCATCCTATCTATTGCTTTGTTTGCTTAGCTGTACTGTGAGGGTTTGTGGAATGACAGTGGTGTAAAAAAAAAAAGGGACATCCATAAAACATTTTAAAAGGAAAAGAGTCATTTTTTAAAGTCACTACTAAGCATACATTCCAGTGGCTTCTCATTGCTATATAACATATTAGTGACAGCATTGTCTCCTTTACTTTTGTCCAAGACTGTGATTTCATTATAATAGGGAGCTCCCAGTGAGGAAAACTCCTTCTCCCAATGCAAATCTACAACTGTTATGCAACTTATAGAGTCTTAGAGAACTGGCCTAAAGCATAGAAAAGTTAACTGATTTTTGCCCAGGGTCATACAGACAGCATCCATCAGAAGGATTCAACCACAGGTCGGAATTTGTTATGTATGTTATATGTCAGTCCATGAAAGGTACCTTCTAATATATAATTCTAGCTACCAAGTCATATCTTGCTAGGTATTTGATAGATGCTAAATTTTACACCTGCAGCGATGTACTGCATTCTCTATTAATTCCTTACATAACCTACATTGATCACTGAATCCAGGCTCCAAAAGGATGACCTTTCTGTAGTTTCTTATGGTGATGACCTAGTGTGAATTGCCATCATAAACCCCTCTATTTCCACATGATCATGATCATGATCATGATCATGATCATGATCATGATGATGCCATAAACTTGGAGTGCTTATGGCCATGGTTGACATATATTCTGACTGGCATCTAGAACAATACCTAATAAGTTAATACTCTATAAGTACTGATCAGTTATCATGGTTTGTGAATTGTTTTCATCTTTGTGCAATGTCTATGGTTTTTCCTGGAGATTTGGCTGGAATTGGGCATTTTAAGTGCATTTAAATTTTTTTAAGAATCTCACTTTTCATCAGCATTTCATTAAATAAAGCCGTATTAACAATGTTTATCTTTTTGCATTTAATTCTAGCTGGGCAACTCAGCCAGTCAGCACATTTATCTCTTCAGTTGCCTTATAATGTACTGGGTTTAGGTCGAAGTGCGAATTTTCTTGATCACCTTTATGTTGGCATTCCTCGTCCATTAGGAGAAAAGGTAAGTTGAGTTTATTTTGCTGCCCACAATCATCTATCACTTTGTTTCTAAAATAATCTGATTTTTTAAAAGTTTATACGCTTTTAAAGACAAATTGAAATAACTAGTTGAGAGTATACTATGTAGTCATAATACCTCAAGCACACAACCACTAAAGAATAAAGGTAGCATTTAGTGAGACCAAAAACAATTCGTCCCTGAAAAGGTTGGAATAACTTTTTGCCAAGAATTAGCATAGGAATAATTGCCTCAGTTTTGACTTAATTCAAAGGTATTAACATACTAGTAGCCTAATAATACATACCAATGATTCCATCCAGATATTAATATATACCTTTCAGTTCAATTTAGCAAAAAAAAATTTACTCAGCACTTATTAGTGTAAGGCAGAGATGTCAAACATGCTGCATTTTAATGAGAACCAGATTAAAATGTATTTTGGAAGTATTTAAATAAATAAAAATACAACAAAACATAGTTAAATGTTAATATGTGGTTTTCTAAGCCAATATGCAGCCTGCAGGAGTCCTTAGGTACTCCTTAGTGGCCTTCTTTGTATATTAATTGGACATTACTGTTGTAAGGTACTGTGCCATTCTACTTGTCAAACAAATTATTTTAGTTTTAAAGTGTTTTTAACTGAATTAGAGTAAAATTGTTTAAACTGTCATAAATTCTTTTTCTAGGCTATACGAAAACAAGAGTGGACTGCAATCATTCCCAACTCCCAACTCATCGTCATTCCATATCCACACAATGTTCCTCGGAGGTAATGTCAGTGCTTGAACAAAATTTGGTAAAATGATACTGTCAACCGTGCAAATCAAAGATGCAATTCCCATGTCAGAGAAAACCTCTCTAGTTCCCACTGTGCTCCACTATGAGTGCCATTAGTTAATTTCTTTAAAGGAAGCCTTAAAAGACTAAGCATGCCTACAGAAAAGGTCTCTGACACTTTTCATGAGGAACAATTTAAATTCTATTAGAACAGCAGGTTAACTAATTTGAAATTTATACATGTATTAATTAAATAAATTGATTTTCATTCAACAACTGCATATTCTGGAATTTCAGGGTAATAATAGTTTCATGGAAATGGTTTTCTAAATACGTACTGCTGTTTATTTGTATTCGATTTGCAATGGACTGAACCATTTATTTTTCGTTCCTAAATGGTCATCATTTTCTTTCCTTTAACTTATCACGTTAATTGTATTCTCTTTTTAAAGTACAAAATAATGAAGTTATTCATGTGAATTTTAAAATTCATTGTGGAAAAAATGAAATGGATATTAGCCAGCTCTCATGTCATGAGAGGATACACAGGCTAAGTTTTTTCCACTCCCTGTATAATGAGCATGCATCTGTGTAGGCATGGTGAGTCCTGCATGTAATAGTTCTACCACACATACATGCTGATCATAGCCATAGAGTTACTTTTTTCATATGAATCTATGATCTCATCTTTGTGGGGAATGTGTATGATAAAAAAGTTCTATAGAGTTTTAGAGAGAGAGTTGCCTGGAATGCTGAGAGCTGGTATGTGTCAGAAATGTAACTGGAACCTAGGTCTTACAATGCCAAGGCCGACATTCTGTCTACTATGTCACACCTCCTCTCTTTTAAAGATATCTAATTCTTAAAGTAATAGGAGGCCTTTTGTTATCAATTTGTGTGCTTTACAGTGTTAAACTAGGCATAGGAGCCTGCTGACACAGTAGATAAAATGCTGGTCTTGGAGTCGAAAGTTCTGAGTTCAAATCATGCCTCTGGCAATTATTAGCTTTGTGACCCTGGGCAAGTCACTTAATTTCTTGGATTAATACCTCGGATTCCTCATCTGTAAAATGAGGATAATAGCACCTAACTTCTTGGGTTTTTCTAAGGGCCAAATGAGATAACATGTTTTGAGGTTTGTAAAACACTATAAGGGACAGATAGATAGATAGTCGTTCAGTCATGTCTAACTCTTCATGACCCCATGGACCTATGGGGTTTTCTTGACAAAGATACTGGAGTGGTTTGCCATTTCCTTCTCCAGTGAATTAAGGAAAACAGATTAAGTGACTTGCCCAGTGTCACACAACTGCTAAGTATCTGAGGTGGGATTTGAACTCAGGTCTTCCTGACTCCAAGCCCAGCATTCTATCCACTGAGTCTTCCAGCTGCTTTATAGATAGGGGTGTGTAAAAATATATGTATATATGTACATGTGCTCTATGGTTGATTATATATAGTATATTATACGTAACACAGTGAGAGAGAACATGTGGTGCTTTGCAAACCCTAAAACAGCAAATAAATGCTAGTTGGCAGTGGTGGTGGTGTTATTATTATTATTAGTGTAATCAAGAGATAGACATGGCTAAGATTTTGGTTTTGGTTTGAGGGGCAGAGGGGCAAATAGTAAAAGTTCGCTGTGTGGCCTGTATTTTTTTAATACAGTGGCATATTTATAATTGATTGTTTTTCTTAAGCTAGATTTTTTTTTGTCTGCTTAGTACAGCAAGAAAAATATACTATAATTCAATGAATCAAAATGGAGCTGGGGAAAAAAAAGACCCCCTGCCCATTTTCATAAATTAGGTAAGTTGAGGGATTAGCTTGATGTAATTAATAATACTTATTTTCTTCAGGTGCTTCTTCACTGGATTTTTATTTCCATTTCTTTTAAATTTCTTTTTGCTACAAATCCCTAAACATTTTTATCATCTTACTGTTTTGGAATAAATTATCTTTTCAAATTTATGTACATAATAAAACACACATTGATTTCAGCTTTCACTATATTTTGAGATATATTGACTAGTGGCTAACCTTACTAGTCAATAAATTTTAATTATGGTCCTCTGAGAAGTCAATATCTACTTGCTATTCATCAGAATGATCTTAACTTTATTAAACTTTTTAAATGAATATATAACTGTTCTCAGAGAGAACAGAAAGTTCTCTTTTTGTATGTCAGTCCCTGCAGCATTGGTTATAAACTATGAGCTGTGCCTCATCGCACTGCATGTTAAACTAGGATGTATAGTGTGGACTTTTTAATATTTTTTGTGATTGGTTTCAACATAAATTCAAGGCATATTTACCCTACATCGTTTTGATAGAAGTCAGTGAAAGGAGATAATAAATAAATGTAAATACCAACAAATTAGATAGTAATTTATGAAGTAAGTGTTTCAGAGCCTTTTCGTATATGGTTATTTTAAAAGGCAGTCATACAGTGTTTCACATATATAGATAATGATCAACAAAGCATTGCACTCTAATGTCAGTCTTATGTTATATGAGTCTTAAAAAAGCAAGATATGGCATTCAAAGGATTTAATTCAGTAGTGAAATTTTTAGGTAAAGTGGGATTTAGTTTAAATAAGTATTTAGCAAATAGTTCTTCATAGCCAACTACATCTTTATAGTCAGTTGACTAAAAGAAGCAGAGTAAAAGACTTCATTGTGTTTGTCGTTTAGTCATTATATTTGACCCTATAGTAAAATATTTAGCCTTAAAGTTTCTCCCCAAGCCACAAATAGTCTTGAATGCATATATTAAGATCATATAAGATTGGTAAATACCACAAAAATAACCATATTTGATAATCCTCTAATTATTAACTCCTGGCAAAATGCAAAAAGGAATGTGTGTGTGGGTGTGGGTGTTCACTGAAGGCATTCTCTGCTGTCATGGAGAATGCCCTGAACAAGATCACAATGGAAAAAAGATCCCCTAAAGATGGTGAGATCCTCTAGGTACTCCTGTTTGCAGAGATACTGTGTTCATTTTATCAAGTACCAGAACATTATATAACCATCTCAATAAGATCCATGATTTAAGAAAAGAGGTCATCAGCCCAAGTTCATACAAAAACATCTAAATTATGAAAAATGTCTATTATCAAGACTATGGCATTCAATTAAATAGCTAGCGCATTGAGTTAGTACATTAATCACATATCTGGGACAGGCACTATGTGTGGACAGTGAGTTGGACCCAGAATTGACCAAGAAGAGAGCAGCAGGCTGGATTACATTTGGGAAACTGTTCATTGATTTTAATGATCTGAGCAGTTCCCTAATAACAGGCTCCATCTTTTCAACAATCAGCCAATCAACAAGGAATTATTAAGTATCTGTTACGTCCCAGGTACTGGGGATACATGTACAAAGGCAAAGAATGAAATAACCCATAATAGGAGAAACAAGAAGTGTGCATATCTGTGTGTGTACACACATATGTACATATACACTTACATGTATGTGCATATATACATTTACATACATATACACATAATGCATAAAGTGAATAAATACAAAAATACAGGATTTCTCAGTTTATCTGAGAAAAAGAAGAAAAAAATAAGAGAAACAAAAGTGCTCTGCTGATGCAAATTGTGGGCTAACCTATCCCAGAGGAATCAAAGTTGTCTCAAGTGGCAATGGAGACATGCATGGAGGTATACATGGGTTGCAGCTTATTTCCACCAATGACCTGTGATCAAAGATTGAGCATGAGGAATATTAGTAAGGAATTGTATGATCATAAAATGTGGTGAGCTAGTTAAATGACAAGATCAAGGGCTAGAAGATAGAAGGCCCAACCACCCAACTGATACCCAAGAAATAACAAAAAGCCTATAGGAAAGAATCTACCATGTTGGACCTATCTTCTGTGGGAAATCTATGGGAAAATATGGAGAAGAATCACATAAGATGTGATGATTGTGGATAAATTGCCATCTGAACTGATGGAGAGAATACCCACATCAATAAAATAACAGATCCATTTAACAATAATTCTTTAAAAAGTATATTTGTATATAGAATTCCCCAAGGATTTGTCCGTGGCCCTCAACCATTCAACATTATTCAGTGACTTAGATGAAGGCATAGATAGAATCCTTATTAAATTTACAAGTGATATAAAATTAAGTTAAACAGCCAATACTTTGGAAGATAGGATCTAAAATGATCTTAATAAGCTAAAATTGTGGATTAAATCTAATAAATTGAAATTTTGTGTGGAGATTAACATAAAGTACTTCACTTAATTCCAAAAAATAAATTTAACAAGGATGGAAAACGTAAGGCCTGGCTACATAACAGTTTATGTTAAAAAAAAAATGTCTAGAACTTTTAGTAATCTGTCAGCCCAGCTAGGTGGTGCAGTAGATAGAGCACTGGGCCTGGAGCCAAGAAGACCTGAATTTAAATCCAGTCTCAGACACTAGCTGTGTGACCCTGAGCAAGTCACTTAACCCTGTTTGCCTCAGTTTCCTCATCTGTAAAATGAGCTGGAGAAGGAAATGGCAAACTACTCTAGTATCTTTGCCAAGAAAACCCTGAGTAGGGTCACAAAGAGCCAGGCATGACTGAAGTGACTGAACAACAAAAATGATTCAGGAGTGTGAGAAAGGCAACCAAATATGCTGGGTTGATTTTGGGCTCCTTCTCAGCACGTAGTATTCAGTACTCTACCCTGGCCACACAAAATCATAGGACCGTGGATGTACAGCTAAAAAGAACTTGAGAGGCTATATATCCCACTGCCCCCATGGTACAGGTAAGAGATTATGGCAAAGCTAAGATTCAAACCAAAGTTCTTTGACAGTTTCTCCCCCTCATCACACTGCCTCCTTGACATCTAGAATGCTGTGTTTAGTTCCCAGCATCACATGTCCAGAGGAGGATGGCCAGAATGGTGAGGGAACCGGAGACCATGCCAAACCAATAGAAAGAAGACAGTAGAAGAAATTGGGAGTTTGTCCCAAAGAATACTTAAAGGAGATGATATCTGCCTTCAAGTATTTATTATTAGAGTCATAACGTGGATGAGGGATTAAATTTGTTAACTCTTGGCTCTAAGGAGCAAAACTAGGAGTAATAGGGAAGATTTGCAGAGAGGTAGGCATAGATTTAGTGTAAGGAAAATCATCTTACCCATCAGTGCTGTCCAGAAGTGGAACTGGCTGTCCCACAAGGCCACTGGAGATCTTCAAGCAGACACACACGCCCATTTATCAAGGATAGGCAGGAGGATTCTTTTTTAGGAACAGTATGGACAGTGTGATACTAAGATCTCTTCCAGTTCTAAAATGCTGTGATTCTGTGACTGTCCAAAATACCTCTGAATACTTCCTTAATAATAATGGTGTGCATTTATATAGTGCTTCCTAATTTACGTACTTTTCTTATAGCAACCCTGATAGGTAAGGAATGCATTATTTCCATTTTATCATTAAGGTAACTAAGGCACAAGAAAGTTGCATGACTTGCTTGTGATCACATATGGAGTCAGTGGAAGAGCTAGAATCCAAACCCAGTTCAGCTATACCATTCTGGGTCTCATTGAGAGCAGTAATTCAGATAAGATGGGCCTTGAGAAAACAAGTAAATTATTAAGTTAAAAATTCAATTTTATGTTTGAGTAAAAATTCTCAAGTCCTAAGTCCAGCACTGCAAACCATACTAGGCAATATCTTTTTTTTTTTGGGGGGGGGGTAGGGGAGGCAATCAGGGTTAAATGACTTGCCTTGCGTAACACAGCCAGTAAATGTCTGAGGTCAAACTTGAACTCAGGTCCCCTTGACTCCAGAGCCAGTGCACTATCCACTTTTCCACCTAGCTGCCCCATAGTTGGCAATATCTAAACTGTTGTGCTTTTTGTTTAATTAAAATGATCACATGTTTGTTGGTTCTATAGAAACAAGCAATTTATATTTTCTCTGTTCTGGTCTTTAGCTGGAGTGCTAAACTGTATCTGACCCCAAGTAACATCGTACTGCTCACTGCTATAGCTCTCATCGGTGTCTGTGTTTTTATCTTGGCAATAATTGGCATATTACATTGGCAGGAAAAGGTATGTTCAATTAATTGAAGGTTTAACTTTGGATAGTATCATGCTTATTAATTGCCACAGAAATATTAAATAGAGCAGTGTTCATTCAAATGTATGGTGTCTAAGAATCGCTGATTTAAAAAAAATAAATAACTTCTGCCCAGAATCTTACCTTCCCTGATAAGACTCTCATTAATATCTTTTTAATTAGTCAAACCTTTTGGAAACCAACACAGTTCTAGAGGATGACTACTTTATACTAAAGCAATTTAGAGACATAGAGCCTATACATTGCTCTTTTTTATGGAAGTGTGTTAAGCCTTGAAAAGTCTTATTAGTAAATGTTTCCATGAAAAAATTTACAATACTCTTAAATATGTATTTTCCCTCCACTGGTTAAAATTGTTATATGTTATACCTATTTTGCAAATGAAAAAAAACCGAGGCACAGGGAAGTTAAATGTTTTACTCAAGGTTAAAGTGGCAAGCTTCTTTCTTTATCTGCTGTTCTCTACACTAAGCTAAATTACTTTCTGTGTTTTCGGTGCCATCAGCTGAAAAAATTTTTTTCTAAAGTGGGGAAGGACAGGAAAGAGGATTTTTATGCTCAATTTCACATAAAGGGAAAACTCAAGCTCACCAGTGAATTCTTTATTAGTGTGTTTTACAAGTTTATGCAAGCTTAAGATTACACAGAGAGTTTTCATTTTTTGGCTCCCATTCTATTCATCTTCTCCACCTGAGAAAGCAAGCAATGAAAGTTAATATCTGACCTAACTGTAATCACTGTTGTCCATTTAAATTAAAATTTTTTTTACTTAACATAACTTTTTCATTATTCCAGGGAAAACATAGGATATAGTCATGATGCTGATTAGGTTTCATACACTCAATTTCCTAAATATTATCATTCCCCTAAGTGTCTGAAATGTTAACCTGTATTCAAGTAACATGAGATTGAGATTTAATTTGACTGATAAGACTCAGGCTGACAGCCCATCTTTAACTTGTCTTGTTTTCTAATGTAGCAGAAAGCAAATGGTCTGAAATATTATATAGGACCATCAAACTTCTACAACAACAACAATAATAATAATAATAACAAATATATGAATCTCTTAAGATACCTGATTACCAGCATACACATCCCACAGTAATGACATGTCAGAAAATCATAGATTTAAAACATACTCACAGGTATATGTCTACTTATCATTTAACCAAACAATGATTAAAGGGCTATATATTTGCCCAGTTTAATTTCTTAACATGAATTTTAAGTTAATTTAAGTTAAAATTAAGTTGATTTAAGAAATGATTCAAGAGGTGTATATATATATATATATATCACCGATTCATTCATTGTGTTGCGTATTCACCTCTGCTTTAAAATTAAGAACATGTAAAAAGTTCAAATGTTATTTGTTAAATTAATTTAGTAACTTATTTGTATTATGTAAGTACTTAAAATATTTCCTAAGGAAGCAGTTTAAAATCCTCACTTGCTATCATTAATAGTAAAACGGATAACCATGACCTACAGTGATTTTGAGATTATTGTAATATAAACTCATCGATTAGTCATTAATGATGAGGATGCCAAAAATGAGAAAGAAAAACAAATTCTTTTCTCAGACTTATAATTAACATGTTTGGAAGATACCAGAATGTGCACTGAAATCAAAAATTTCTACAAACTTTTATTTTTCAGAAAGCAGATGACAGAGAAAAACGCCAGGAAGCTCATCGGTTTCACTTTGATGCTATGTGACCTGCCCTAAGTATGTAATAATGAAGCTGTTGTTCATTTGCTTAATCAAAATACTAACTGCTAGCTTGAAGAAGAGAATTGGAAGAGGGCTATTTTGAATGATCTATTTATAAATATTGCATTTCTTAGTATTTATTTGGTTAAGTATTAAGGTGTAAATGTGTCACAAGGTTTTTTTGGTAAGCACTTTGTATGGGATAAATTTTTGGTCTCCGTTAAATAAAAGTTGTACTTTTTTTTCATGGTCAGGGTCCTACTGCATGTACTGTGCTATTTATAAACTGAACATCTTCCAAAAATAATGACAGAAAAGGCATCATGTGTAAATAAAAATAATTTAAATGAGTATTTTTGTGTCTGAGCTATTTGTATTGGCCTTGCAATCTATATTCCTGTGATGCAAATTCTATTTTTATAAAGGGTTCTTCAGTAAAGAAGTATCAAAGGACTCACACATCTATTATGATAGCTGTAATCTAAGGGCTTCTGACTTGTATCAATTTGATCTCTTTTCTTTTTTTCAAATGGGCGCATGCAATGAAATCTATAGTTTTAAGTATAAAAAATACACAGCAGAGATTTTCATGGCATCATTGTATGTGATTGCAAAAAAAAAACTGGAAGCAATCTTAAGTGTCCAGTAATAGAGGGAGGGTTAAATAAATTGTGGTACGTTGATGTAATTAGTATACTATAATGCCATCAAGATGGACAAGCATAAGAAATACAAAGAAATCTGTAATGTCATTTAGGAAATAAGCAAAATTTAAAAATCAAAACCAGAAGAACAGAATATATACTAACTATAACCATAGTTAAGAGGGAAAAGTAAACGAGAATGAATTGACAAAGAATCCCGATAGGCCGTTAGAAGGGAGTGACTAAAAAGCTACTATACTTTATGAGGTTTAAATTAATTCATTTAACTGCATGTAGTTACTAAGCAATTTTAGTTTGTTATGTTATTATTCAATATTGAGTTTTAATAATATTTAGTACTGAGCAACACATCTAACAGTCAGCAAGCACAGGTATTTATGCCTATATATGATTTATATGTGTATACATACATCTGCATACATATATAATAATAGCTAACATTTATGTTGCTGTAAGTTTGCAAAGTACTTTATATGATCTTAGTTAATATGTTTATATACAGCATATGGGACAGACTTGTGATTTGATATAGGAAGCTTTTTCTACTGATGTAGATAAGTAACTCATAGTCTTGTCTGGGCCACTTAGAATTGCCAATGGTCATACAGTTCCTATGTGTCAGAGATAGATCTTGAATCCAGGTATTCCTAATTTTATGCTTGCCCTGTGTCTACTATATCACTTTTCAAGCATATTGTTGTATTTTCTGACATGAAGAGTCATATTCTTTTAGAGCCTGACTTTAGGAAGTTGATATTTTAAAGATTTGTTAACAACTCTAACTAAATATTCTCAAATGCATATTCTTATCACATAATCATAACTATATTAACTTATGAAAAAATTACAAGACCATTGGGATTTCCTAATAGGAGACATAGAGTAAAGTAAAAACTCACATCCAGGGATTGTATCTTATAGCCTGTACCCCAAGGTAATGTTCCAAAATAAAGAAGCTTTAAAGTAACCCATAATTCACATTAAGGTATTGATGTAAAACATCATTCTAGACTTCATATCCCAAAAAATTAACTTAAAAATCTTTACTGACAAATGGAAATAAACAGTATAGAATTAAAAAATGCTAGTAATTTCACTATATCCAAATGTAGCTACTGTAATAAAGTCTCTGAAAATTTTGTTTTGTTCTGTTAGATTTGTTCCTTTAGTTCATGGAATGACTTTCATGTATTTCATTTGGGTAAATCTATAAGTTTTTCTCAAAAAAAATTTCTTAAAATTTTGTTGGTTTTTAAAAAAGTAATCAACTAGATTTTTTTTATTGTTGTTACACTCATGTCCAATTCTTCGTGACCCACTATCATCTGAAGTCTGTCCAAGCTCATGTTTGTTGCTTCCATGACACTGTCTATCTGTCTCATCCTTTATCATTCCCTTCTCCTTTTGTCTTCAATCTTTCCCAACATCAGGATCTTTTCCAGTGAGTCCTGTTAAAGTATTTAAGCTTCAACTTGAATATTTGTCCTTCCAGTGAATAGCTTGAATAAATTTCTTTAAATATTGACTGATTTGATCTCCTTGCTGTCCAAGGGACTCTCAAAAGTCTTCTCAGCACCACAGTCCTACCAGAAGCCCAGAAAATTAGGCCCAAACAGAAATTGTGAAAGAATAAATACTTTAATGAAAATATAAACTTCTTGGCAGGAAAGGATCTAGACCTATGACTTCATCAGTGTAGGGAATTCCTAGTGAGAGAAGTTTACAAATGCAACAACTGTTCTACAACTTAAAGTCTTTGCAAGTTGCCCAGGGTACAAAGAGGTTATATGATTTGACCAGAGTTATTCAGCCAATATATGTCAGAGGTGGGATTTGAACCCAATATATCACCCTTCTTGGTTTTTTCCTGCTTCCTATATAAACACATATTACTGTTAATATAGCAAGGAAGGAAAGAAGTTTACCAGATTTGATTTGAACTAAAACTACATGAATTTTTTTAAACTTTTGTGTAAAGTTTTAGAAAAATTATTTTCTACTCCCTTTCAAAGCATTTGGCAGCATAGATGATGCTCAGTGACTTTTATATGTAGTATACAACTAAGCCAAATAATGATTTTTTTTCCTATCTGCCAGCAATTTGGGAGGTAGTCATAAAATAGCAAGGTAGAAGACTATTGCCACCAGATCTAGAACTAGAAAGGACCTTACGTGAGGAAACTGAGGCCTAGAAAGAGGAATCTGAGAACTGAAAGAGAAATATAGGTCCTCAGAGTTGCAAAGTTGCTTTAAAAAAATAAAAGACTTCAAATCCAACCCATACCTGAACTAAAACCACCTCAACTATACCTGACAAGTGTTCATCCGGCATTAATTAGAAGACATCTAGTGAAGGGCAACCTCATTATCTCCCAAGGTAACACATTCCTCTTGGAGGTAAGTCTGTTATGAAGTTTTTCCTGATACCAAAACTAAATGTGCTTTGGCAACTTCTACTCATTCCTTCCACCTCTGCCCTGTTAGGCCCAAGCAAAACAAATTTCCTTTTCTGTGTGACTGCCTTTCAAGTGTTTAAAGATAGTTATTCTACACCCACCTAAATCCTACTCAGATTTAACATCCATACTTCCTTCAACTGATCATAATAGAAACTTAAGTTGAGGCCCTATTACTGTCCTAGTTCCTGTTCCTTTCCTTTGTTGTGCATTCTCCAGTTCATTGCTGTCTTTCCTATAATGTAGCAAGCCCAGGACTGAATACAATACTCTGGATGGGGTCTGATCAGGGCAGAGTACAATGATACTTATCTCCAGCCTGGACCTATTCTTTTAATGAAGCCTAAAATAATATTAGCTTTCTCATTTCTCTTATTGCAACTGTTAACATATTGCGTTTCAGTACATACAAACCACCCTAATATTTTTCAGATGAACCCCATGCAGCCATGCCTTTCTCCTCCCCACATTGCACTTCAGATGTTTATTTTTTTTAACTCAAATATATGACTTCACATGTAACCTTATTCAATTTAATCTTATTACTTTATCTTGCAAGCTATCCATCTCCTAATAGAAAGATGACAGACTCAAGGTGCAAGGAGATGGACGTTTTTGGACATGACCAATGTGGTAATTTGTTATGCTTGACTATGTATCTTTGTCACAAGGGTTTTCTTTTTTTTTTTTCAGTTAGGGAAGTGGGGAGGAGAAGGGGGCTTGAGATTGGATTGCCAAAAAGAAAAGGAAAGAGTTATTCAAGCATTTTTTAGGATAGCAGGAAACACAAACAGAACAGCTTTGAAAGATACAGATATAGTTTATTACATACTTAAAAGGAAAAGCTGTTGTCTATAATATGATTTCATGTATAATCCTTTCTCCGTTCTATCTGCAAATACTCATTTTATTTGATGTTTAAGTTCAGAATTTAAAATTAAAATTTTGTTTTATTCAATTCTGCCTAATATTTAACAATACTGAGCCCTGCAAGGTTCTTGGGGCACCCTCCACTGGAGACTTCCTTGCAAGGTGACATTTCTCTTTGCGCCTGGCCATTTAATCAGTTCCAGACTACCTTATTCTCAGCTGAGTCCACATCTTTCCATCTTTTCCTTAAAATAGGATGAAAGACTAAATTGCTTTGCTAAAATCCAAGTAAACCATGTCTACTGCATTCCCCTGATCTATCAGTCTCTAGCTGTTAAAAAAATAAAATAAAATAAAAAGAATATGAGGCAAAAAAATAAAATAAAATAAAATAAAAAGAATATGAGGCTAGGCCAGCATGATCTGTTCCTGAAGTCATGCTGGCTCTTTGTTGGTGCTTCATGATACCCACTAACCATCTTCATGATACATTCTGGAATTTTTCTAGGAGTAGAAGTGAAACTCATAGGCCTATGATTTGTACAGTACTTGGTGACATAGTATTTAATAAATGCGTATTAACTGACAGCAAAATACATTGTCCCTTTTGAGAATCAGGATATTTAGGAGAGGATTCTGGGAAGATAGCAGAGTAGGTCAGAAAACTCCAGGCTCTCCAAATTTCCTCTACAAAAAAGACAGAACATCACCCCAAAGTGAAAGTAGAAAAGCAAAAAAAAAAAAAGTTGGGGTAAAGCAATTGTCCTCCTAAGACTACTTTAGAGGACTTCAGTAAAGATTCAACTTCCCTGGTGGAGGTTTGACCTAAATGAAGTGCAAACACTTCCAGGTAGACTGTTGAATCAACAAACAAGAAGCCCTAGGGGCAGCTGGGTCTGGAGGCAGGCTTAGACTCAGGAACTTTCACCTCATGGACAGTATAGGGGTTGTCCTGACAGCTGAGGAGGGGAAAATTGAAGGACCCTCTGCTGTCAAGGGATGCTGTGCTGACCAGACACAGTTCCAGGCTATGGCTTCTGGCAAGAAAAAAGGAGCACAATGGTGAATGTGGTAGCAGAGGGGAGGAGACCCTGCTGGCTGTGGGCACTTGCAGGAGAATGGAGTCCCTGATTTCGATTCCAGGGCAGAGGGAGAGCTGAAGTTCATAGCCCAGGAGGGACTGCAGGAAGCAAGAGCATTTGTAGGACAGTGTGGCTGGGGGCCCTAGCCATGGCTTAGGGGTAGGGGGAGTGCCTGAGGTGGGGCCCTAGACAGAGCTCAAAAAATAACAGTAAGAAGGACCTGAGACTTGAGGCACCATTCTCCACACACAGGGACTAGAACCTGATTATAATAATAAGC